ATATATATATATTTATTTATTATTATTAAAGGGAGGGCAAAAGCCAAAAAAACTAAAGAGGAACCCGATAAAAGAAAGAGGCTCCCATTACATCATCACATAAAAGCTGAAAAAGCCCTAAAGGGGGGTTATGAAGCAAGAAAAGACCCACAGGTTGCTGAAGAGCTAACTTGGCCAAGACATCCACACTATGATTAGCTTCCCTAAAAACATGCTTAATGATAATATCATTTCCAGTAATAAGAGATCTAATAAGATGAAGAATTCGCCTACAAGAGTGATGATTACTACAACCAACCATCGGTGATGACTGATGAGAGAAATTGCTACACGTGAATCTGACTCAGTGATGAGTTTGGACATATTTGCATCTTTGGCCATCACAATGTGTATATATAGCCCAAAGCTCTACTCCATTAAACTATAGGCGTGATGACTTGTTATTTGTAGATTGCTTCATTCGGTGTTTGTGACAATTGAGAGCATCTCCAATGAGGTTGCTTATAAGCAACTTCCTTGCCACATCAACTCATTTGAGTTGTTTAAATTTTACCAAAATTTATTGTACAAGCTTCAGTACTTAAGAAAAAAGGAGAAAATGGATTGATGTGGCAAGCAGGGTTGCTTATGAGCAACCCCGCTGGAGATGCTCTGACAAGCATGATAGGTGTCATTGGAAAGTGCAATAACTTTTTATTTGTTGTTTCTTCTATTCAATTTTAACTTATCATGGGTGTTTTCAAAAGAGGAGTTCACTTTGTCTCCTCTAAGTATTATCACTGCTAAAAAAAACAAAAATGATTTAATGATGAGCAATTTGCGTTTTGCCTGGTTTGAATTCAATATTATATTTTAAATTCTGAAAATAAAAATCACAAAAAGTAAAAATTAAAAATTGTAAAAGCTAAAAACTGATTTTAACTTACAAAATTAAATAAATCTAATGTGGCAAACACTTTAAATAGAAAAATGGATTAAGTTTTCAAAAAAAAAATGTCACGTTATTTTTAGTAAGATAAAATTCAAGTATAATAATTTATATACCGATAATATTACTTCTTAATTAAAGTTTTATTTCAGTAGTTAAAATATTGATTTAAGATTGTTCTTAAACAGCACATAGAACGTCTTCCAACTAGTTATATATTAAGCACCCTTCTAATTCTCTCATCATTCTGATATTGATTTTGACTTTGTGCAAAACAACAATATGTTAATCGAAGGTTCCTCCAACAATGACGAGTTCCACTGGAATGATCTTAATGATCAAGTTCAGCGACATGCACCAGTTGAGCTTATAAACAATTTCGCATACCATTTTCATTTTCATTTCCAACCCTCCAATATTTCACCACTGCCTCTAGTTTTTCTAACAAACCCTCAGTGAGAGTTGTTTCCAAAGCTGCTGGACCACAACTTTCCCTTTCCATTCGTCATGGAAAGGTCATTCTTGCCTCACTTGATCCAAGTGATGCTTACCAGGTAACCCCTCCCATTCATAACTTATATACTGTGCCTTTCCCTAAGCACTTCAAATTTTCATATTTTTCTTACGTATATATATGTTTATTTTCATTGCTTCCTTGCCATGTTTTTTTTAATGTATTTTTTGTTGCAGCATTGGTTTAAAAGATGAAAGGTACAGCACCAGGAGGGATGAAGCAGGATTCTGTGCCTTTTCTTTAGTGAACAAGGCCACCGGTGAGGCCTTGAAGCACCCAGTAGCTGACTATCACACAGTAAGAAATATTAATTTCTCAAATTTTTTGGATTGGGAAGGACTTCATTCTAGAGTATGATCTTATATCATTGGTTACCCCACAATTTATGTACACACTAGTATAATAATACTAGGGATGAAGAAATTTATTAGAAAAAATCCAGAGCCCTATATCGTTTGGAATTAAGTTAAACAATAAATTTATAAGTCGATTTTACACGATTAAGTTAGATCTAAATTGATTTTCTAAAACTTCCTTTAATTACAAGGTATTCCTTTTTTGGACTGAGCTGAGTTTGCATATGTAACAAATGCATTTGTTTATACCAATGTGTTGAATTATTGATCATTCAAATTATGATATTGGACCTAAGATGTCATATACATAGTATTGTTAATGTTAGATCGATCACATTCGGATATATATCCTCCTTTCCTCCAAAATATATTGAGAGCAATAATATTTATACGGTATAATTTGTATAAATAAAAGAGTTAGAAGAGAATGAAGAAAAAAAATGTGAGATAAAATATGTTAAAAAGAGAGAAAATAATATAAACTATAAACTATAGCTATATTAGAAATGAATGTGTAATCAAGAGAATCAGTGAAAGCATATTTGGATCATTTTTATCATAGTGTACTTCCTTTGGCAAGTCATCTCATGTATTATGATTGTTAGTGCTTTCTATGGCATGTGGCATGTTAGGACCTTGGATTAAGATTTACTTCTACATGCTCCTGACCCTTTAACTGTTTTATGACAAATACAATTTGTGAATATATCTTTCTTTGATTTCTACTTTGTCAATTTTATCTTTCAATAATGTGGATTCTGGAATTTTATGGTTAAATTCATATGTTATTACTTGTTAGCATGTAGCTATTCTCCTAAATTGTTTAACTGATGGAAACTTGAAATGGGAAAGTGTTTGATAGAAGGGGAAAGATACTTTTGGTAATTGGGAAAGTACCATAGCAATTTTATATAAGACCCTCTTTCCTTTGGTAATGTGTTATTTACATTAGAATCTTATAATTGTTATGTAGGTAAGGATGATGCCCTACAATCCAGATATTCTGGATGAGTCTGTTTTGTGGAGTGAGGGTGAGGACTTAGGTGATGGCTACAGTGCTATAAGAATGGTGAATAATATTCGTTTTAATATGGATGCTTGTTGTGGTGACAAAGAATCTGGAGGTACGCATGATGGCACTACAATAATCCTCTGGGACTGGAACCATGGTGATAATCAGCAGTGGAAGATCTTGCCCTACTGTAAGCTTTCTACCAAGTTTTTTCTTTTTGAAATGCATGCCTTCTAATGTCAAAACATTATTATTTAATCTTCAACAAGTTTGTCTTTATGATATGTTTAGATAAACTTTTTCATAAATTTTTTAAGATAATAAAATAACAAGTTATTTTTTTTCATAAATTTAAATTATTGTATAAGTATAAATTAATTATCGTTATTTGCTGTGGCATCTCTGTTTGATTCTTAATGATTCTAAAATTATACTATCTACTCAGATGCTCAAGTTTCTTTTTTCATTTTAGTTAGTTGCATATATCCCAGAAATAAAAACTAGTTTACATACTTCCTTTTTTTTTGTTGCTAACCGTGCTAAAAGGTGAGTGACTCTTCATTTTTATTTTTAATGGTTGCAACAATAATTAAAAGTATTTAATATTAAAATATTAAAGTCTCATTATATTTAGATTGTTATGTTAGAAGTTGTTCATTTTTTATCATGTGAGTTATTTATATGACAAATGATAGACACTTTATACTTTAAACGAGGTATGTGTTATGTTATTTATTTAAAGTATTTTTTTAAAATATATTATTATAATATTATTGTCATCTCTTTATTTTTTATTTCTTCCTTTTCTGAATATTCTTCTCTCAATGTTATTATTATTTTTTCTCTCTTTAAACACAAATGATTCAATCGATGAATTTATCTACTGCATCGTATATACCGTGAGTGATTATTGGTTTCTAAAATTTAATCACCATTTAAGCTGAACATGTTATGTCTCATACATATACTAAAATTTTTTTTTTTGAAAAATTCTATTGTATATATATTTTGACTATTCTTCTCTCAATATGACTTTTTTTTTCTCTTTCAATGCTAAAGATTTCATTGTCTCATTTATTTACTGTCAAACATATACCGTGTAGGTGATTTTTAAATTATCTAACCTTTATTTGCTTGCCAAACTATAGTTTTCTAAATGTTTATGATTTTAATTCATATTGAAAAGATAAAGGGTTGTTGTATAACTCTTTATGGTTGTTTGGAAGATTTTAATTGTTAATTTAAAAAGGAAAAAAGGGAACTTAATAGGTGGGCATTTGACTTTTGTTAGTACACTTCCGGTAATATTGTCCTTTTAGATTTGGCTCCCAAGCGAGAGTCATTTAAGAAAATAAATAAATAATTGTGTTTATTTAATCATAGGATTTTTTTTACTTTTATTTCCCATTTTACCCTTGTATTATGGGGTGTCTTAGATTATAGGATTTTATTTTATAGCTAGGGTATTTTATTAAGGTTGGAAACTAGGCCTAGACATGTTTTTTGGTGGCATTGGATTTATTTTTGGACTTGGCAAGGCTTAGGCCCAAGTGGAGGGCACCTAGGTTGCATGGTCTTATCACGCACCTAGATGTAGCTTAAGCAAACCCAAAGATTCTATCATTGGCCACCAAGTAGCATCTGAGGTTAATTTGGGTTTCATTTGAAGTGCATTTGGATTACATTACTTGGCCATGCACTCTCAAATGTAACCCTAAATGCATCCTCCCTTCTATAAATACCCTAGGCTAGCCTCCTTGTAAATACTTTAGAAATTAATATAGAGTGATCCTTTTGTGCCTTTATATTTTCCTTAGTCTCTCTTGGTCATTTTCGGCCAAGAACCCTACCTATCTCCACCTTGAGTAAAAACCTTCGTAATGTTATCATATTTCCTTGCATTTGAGATAATAGTTATATTGATTTATGCATTTTCTTTAAACTAAATGAGAATATAGGTGATATTTCATAAGTTATTATGTTATATTGATTTAGGGAGTAGTTTTTTTTATTGTGTTATTATTAAATGTTACATTTATTTTAAATTTATGTTTCATGTTTTTAGTTTCATTTCGAAGCTCAAATAATCTATGTTATTTGGTTTTCAATTATATGTGATGCATCAACTTCTTATTCAATTTTAATTTAATGTCTAAATTCTTTTGGAGGATGGCTTTACTGCGCATTTGGTGGATGATTTTTAGATAAACTTAATTAATAAAAGCAGGTGGGTTTTGCTTTCTTCGATGCGCATTTGGTGTTTGTTTCCTACAGCACATGATTAAAAGGTGAGTGACTCTTCATTTTTATTTTTAATGGTTGCAACAATAATTAAAAGTATTTAATATTAAAATATTAAAGTCTCATTATATTTAGATTGTTATGTTAGAAGTTGTTCATTTTTTATCATGTGAGTTATTTATATGACAAATGATAGACACTTTATACTTTAAACGAGGTATGTGTTATGTTATTTATTTAAAGTATTTTTTTAAAATATATTATTATAATATTATTGTCATCTCTTTATTTTTTATTTCTTCCTTTTCTGAATATTCTTCTCTCAATGTTATTATTATTTTTTCTCTCTTTAAACACAAATGATTCAATCGATGAATTTATCTACTGCATCGTATATACCGTGAGTGATTATTGGTTTCTAAAATTTAATCACCATTTAAGCTGAACATGTTATGTCTCATACATATACTAAAATTTTTTTTTTTGAAAAATTCTATTGTATATATATTTTGACTATTCTTCTCTCAATATGACTTTTTTTTTCTCTTTCAATGCTAAAGATTTCATTGTCTCATTTATTTACTGTCAAACATATACCGTGTAGGTGATTTTTAAATTATCTAACCTTTATTTGCTTGCCAAACTATAGTTTTCTAAATGTTTATGATTTTAATTCATATTGAAAAGATAAAGGGTTGTTGTATAACTCTTTATGGTTGTTTGGAAGATTTTAATTGTTAATTTAAAAAGGAAAAAAGGGAACTTAATAGGTGGGCATTTGACTTTTGTTAGTACACTTCCGGTAATATTGTCCTTTTAGATTTGGCTCCCAAGCGAGAGTCATTTAAGAAAATAAATAAATAATTGTATTTATTGACAAGTTGAACTTCTTAAATTTTCTTTCAATGCTAAACATTATAAATTGTTTATAATAGATATTTAACATTTTCTTTAGTTTCTTCAGATTTTAAGTATCTAGAAACAAGCAGTGTTATGGATGATAATGTTGGAAAAAAGATAAATAACTCAAAATCATCCAGTGAAGATATTTAATATTGTAATCGCAATAAATGTGTCGGAGTGTGTCATTCAAATGTCACCAATGGTGAGCGATAATATGTCTCAATATTACATATTAACAATAAGAAATATTTTTCTGTCAAAGTATTTAATTATATAAAGCACTTTCAAATGTAATTAATATATGAGTGTGTATTTTGCAATTATAGGAAATAATATTCCAAGTGATCATTCCCGTGAGCATTATCTAAATGATTTTATTGGAGGAAGTGCATCTAATAATGTAGAATTATGTTGTATTCTATTGTTGGATATTACTAATGGTAAAATTAAATTTTGTAAAAGATGTCTCGTTCTATTTATATGTTTGAAAATGCGATGCGCATTTGGTGTTTGTTTCCTACAGCACATGATTAAAAGGTGAGTGACTCTTCATTTTTATTTTTAATGGTTGCAACAATAATTAAAAGTATTTAATATTAAAATATTAAAGTCTCATTATATTTAGATTGTTATGTTAGAAGTTGTTCATTTTTTATCATGTGAGTTATTTATATGACAAATGATAGACACTTTATACTTTAAACGAGGTATGTGTTATGTTATTTATTTAAAGTATTTTTTTAAAATATATTATTATAATATTATTGTCATCTCTTTATTTTTTATTTCTTCCTTTTCTGAATATTCTTCTCTCAATGTTATTATTATTTTTTCTCTCTTTAAACACAAATGATTCAATCGATGAATTTATCTACTGCATCGTATATACCGTGAGTGATTATTGGTTTCTAAAATTTAATCACCATTTAAGCTGAACATGTTATGTCTCATACATATACTAAAATTTTTTTTTTTGAAAAATTCTATTGTATATATATTTTGACTATTCTTCTCTCAATATGACTTTTTTTTTCTCTTTCAATGCTAAAGATTTCATTGTCTCATTTATTTACTGTCAAACATATACCGTGTAGGTGATTTTTAAATTATCTAACCTTTATTTGCTTGCCAAACTATAGTTTTCTAAATGTTTATGATTTTAATTCATATTGAAAAGATAAAGGGTTGTTGTATAACTCTTTATGGTTGTTTGGAAGATTTTAATTGTTAATTTAAAAAGGAAAAAAGGGAACTTAATAGGTGGGCATTTGACTTTTGTTAGTACACTTCCGGTAATATTGTCCTTTTAGATTTGGCTCCCAAGCGAGAGTACCCGACGTAAAAGACCCTTTGTGTACTAGTATTGTAAAAATTGACTAAACTGTTTCTCTCGAGTTCATTTTTCTTTCTCATAGAACAAAATATTGTGATTGAATTTAAAGGGGAAAAGTGAGGGTTAGAATTTTTGTTTAGTTAATGAGAGATTTTAAAACTAATTTATTTTTACACCTGTATAATTTTGAATTGAAAAAAATAAGTGTTTTAGACATTTTGTTCAAAATGTTTTAAATCTCCTGATTTCCCATCCTAGAACTTTACTAGATGAGTGAAAATTAGATGAGGTGTGATTTTATTCCTCCATTCGTCCCACTCTTAAAAATTGAATCAAATAAAAGTTTAATTATAAAAATTCTCTCATTTTCCTCCCACGAAAATTGCAAATCTGAACGATTATGGTAAATGCAGGAGTACAATTGGCTTTAAAGATGCATCAAGTGAAGGAGTATTGGCCCTTCTATTTGAGTGGTTTGTGCTATGTTTGTATGGTGTTTATCTATTACTTTTCTCACAAGTTAATTATCTGATTTTCATATACTATTGGTATTTGTTATACATTTTATGCTACCATCTTTCACCGAAAACATGGGAGTGATCAATGTTATAAATAGCATCATGGTCATGGGTTTTCAATGCTTCATTTTCCATGTATTAAATTTCCTGTATATTATTATTTTTGGTTGCGCGTAGTGGTACTTGATCACTTCTTTATGACGACCATGTGTAAATTTTAAAAGATAAATGCTACTAAATTT